AGAATCTCGTCACCAGCGAGAATAGATCACCTCCCGCTTAAAAATCATGCACTACCCTTACGGGAATAACGACCTTGAGAGGTCACGCGCCCGGAATGACTTATCTTACATTCAATCGACACTGGATCTCGTCATCCAGGGGGGGAGGTCTCTGCCAACTCCCGAGAAAAAAACAAGCACTACCCTTACGGGACTAATGAGCTCAGGACTTGACACGCCCCGAAATCAATCAATCGTAGGAGGTTGGGGGGGAGGCAAGGAGGCGCCTGTAGGGGGCGAGCGCAGCAGCAGTGCGTGAGCGTCGCCCGTGCGTCAACGGCATTTGGGCGCAGCGCTCGCCCCCGCACGCAGATAGCTCGCAGCGCCGGGGGATTATGGGCCCCGGCGAGGCAGCTCCGGTCCCCGCCGGCTCCCGCTCGCCCTTCGACAGGGCATTAGGGAGCCACCAGCAACAGATGCGCCCACCCGCGCGCCCTTCGGCCCTTCCCCCTTCGAGGGCCCCGCCCTCGCCGCGCGGCCGCGCCCACTCGGGCGGCCCTTGGGGAAAGACTTCCTGCCCTACCGGTCAGACGGCTGCTGCCATTCGAACACTTTTCCCTTTTCATAAGCGATTTCACTGGTGGCTTGAAACTTATCGAACTTCTTAACGTAGCGTGGTTCATTCCTAGCAGGCAAATACCTCGTGAACTTCAAATGCTTTATATTACTATTTAATAAACGTATCCTCTAAATTTTATTATTTTCTTCCATATCGTCCAATCGCTTCCTCTTTTGTACCTTGGCCAACAAGACAACACTCCTAACAGAAACAAAACTCGTTTTCACAAATATATTTTTAAAATACCCTTATTCAAACCTCCCTGCATATCAACTCAACATCTTTAACACTCCCTCCAAAGCGTAACAATATCATACACAAATAACTTTCCTTTTCTCACCTCACAATAAAACATAAAATATTTTTGGTTTTAACACCTGTGCAAGACAATGAACTTGAGAAATTCCCAAAGAATTGTATGTATTCACCTGGTCGAGAAGATAGGAATAAATAAAAGAAATTGATCGATTAGTTCGTGAGTCGCCTAGCTACCTACGGACTTAACTGAGAAGTTTGCAACCAAGAGTGGCATTTGGTTAGCCTATTTCACGAACAAAAGTCATAAATTGGTTGAGTAGAATGAACATTATGTTAAAATAGCAAAAATGCTATTGGTGGTTATTTAAGACGATTGATTACTGCAGTAGAGTCGTGGAAGGAATATTTATATATTTTCCGAATCAGTTGAACGTTATCCGCAGTAAGACGATAGCAAAAAGTACACATGTGAACTATTCGATTTTAAGCGCCCGTAATAAGTTTCTAACCATCTTATTATTAAACACTCCGTCAGACTAGAACGAATAACTCATGAGTGGAATAGTCAAGGTATTTATAGAATCGAGACGAAAGTATTCGCGACACCATGAAATACGTTTTAAACAAGTAACAACTCTGCAGAGCTTTTAATATATACATGAGTTATTTGTGATGAGAAAATGCCGCTGGCTTTTTCTCAATTACATAAATAAGTGTTTATATTTCATTTTGCTGATAAACGCTTAAATTCCACGCAGTATTGAAAATTGTACGAGGTTTTGTTCCTAAAACAACAATGTTAAACAATTTTTTCTACATAAAATGAATTTTCCAAAATTATTTTTTTAAATCAGGTAATCTTCTTCAAAATATAAGTGATTTTCATGTAATGTTGCATGAAATATTATCAGAAACATGTTTTTTTTAAAAAATCCTCCAAATTCTTCTTTAACCTTTGTTTAAGACGAGTGTTAAACGTACTGAATAATACGATATCAAAGTCATTTTGATGTTATTGATTTTTCACAAATTAAACAATTATTGTATTTTTTATGCATTATTGTATTTCTGATAACAAGTGATGTAAATGATTTCTGATATTGAACTTTCTCGAAAGTTCAAATCATTCTGTGAAAATGAGCTCCAAATTACGAAGAAAAGTGAAACATTTTCTCAAGAATGTCAAAAAAATATTCAATGAAAATTTTCATAAGATCACGATTTTTACTATTCTATAATGTTTCAAAAGTCATGATTCAGTTCTACTAATTGTCCCCCAAAAATGTGCAAAATGTAAAAAACAATTAAAAAAAATTAGACACCGATAGCTAGCATTTGGGTAGAGGTTGAGACAATACCGAAAATCTAACCTAGACTAAAGAGATTAGAAAACTAACTAGTGCGAGATAGTCAGTGCCATTCTGAAACATTGCTAGTTTCAGTTTTCGTGTATTCAGTGCTTTGCAAATTCCTAATACTCATTTTCTCTTTTGAAGAATTAGTAATGATCGTATCTTACGATGTTTTTCTATTTAGTTTAATTTTATCAAAATCAATCTCAATTATTTTATTTTTAATAATGATAATCCTTTTCATTTTCCTAGTCGAACGTGAAGTACCGTGTTAAATTACATGAACCTCAGAAAGGTTTCCCCCATTTTTACTGTTTCCTGAATGCTCTTTAAACCTGATGAGTAGATGTATTTTCGTAATCAAACCGATTGCGCTAATTCATTACAATGTTATTAGATATTTATACAAATAAAATATTTTGAACTAGGTAGTGATCGTATGTAAATACTGAACGTGCATTCAAAGTGCTCAATCAGTCACAAGCACGTGAAATTGCTAATACCAGGTATCGGTCATTTAGTTATTTTTCCAAAATTGTTAGGAATAGCAATATAGTTAACTGTAAGATTTGACTTTGAAAATTTAACAATTATGAAGTAAAAACCTTTAAGAACGATGATGAGTATACCATTGAAGCAATCCCTATTCTGTTATCTGTGAAGTTTTTTTAAGTCCACAATGACGTTTGCTTTAACGTTAACTAATATTTGTTTCTCCTCTTATGATTCTCCCTATTCTTACTATTCTCCCTTTGTTCCCATTACCCCATTCTATAGGATAGAGATTGCAACCTCTATGGACTCTGCTCAGTTAAAGTGCATCTTATGTTCACTGCTTTTTATCGTTTAATTTTTTTAAACATTTTCTTGATTTCTGCAGAACGGTGCATCTACTGAATTTTGGGAAAACCTTTTTCTTCAAATAGCATGTACTTTGAATCCAATAAATATTTTTGTACTCACGTCTTATGATGCATTTTATAGATTGTATATAGTCCGTAAAATTGCAGTTTCTCTGCCTGAGTGTTAAACATATTATTGGTATAGGACTGTACAGAAATAACACCAACGTTAGAGGAAGAAAAGCCATACAAAAAAATACTTTGTTACTTTTCCAACTTCAATAACAATTTAATGGTGTGCAGAATACTAATTTATTTAACAAAGGTTATTTTCAAATTTGAAAGATAAATATACATTTCATTATTATATTAAACACGGTTATGATTTATTTGAAATTCCTCCTCTCCGACAATAAACGAATGAATTTTGATATTATAGAAGTATGAAGTAGAACCTATAAAAATAAGTGATGTTTTCGGGAAATCAACTGTTTTCCTGATAACTGGAGTTACATCAACACAACGATGAACTATTATAATTATTACAATGGAATGAGACGTACAGTAATGCTAATAATGGTCTAAAAGAAATAAAAAATGGCTTGAATGAAACGTATTATCGCTAAACCCCCATAAAAACATTTTTATTTCCTTTTCCTTAACATAACACAGGGTAACACCAAATTGTGAGCAAGGTCCAAATAATAATACACGGTGCACATTGCTTAGTTTTAGAAAAATATAACTGCCCTTCTTACTCAGATCTTCAGATCTCATATGTTAAATATTTAGGTATTTTCATAGAACAACACTTAAAATGGAACATGCATGTTCATTATCTATGTTCTAGATTACAGCAGACATTTATGATCTTACGCTCTTACTTACCACCTAACCTTTCACGTTTAGTCTACTTTGAATTATTTCAATCAGTACATATTAATTGGCTGGGGAGGAGCTTGTAAATATATCTTAACACCCATAAATTTGCTCCAAATGCGAATAATCAAAAT